TATCCAAACAAGAAAAAAAGAATTTCTTTGAGTTTCATTTGTGCATTCATCTATGGAAACTGGCTTATGTAAAATTTATTTCTTAGTATAGGTTGAGGTAATAAAAAAAAATGTGAATGGCACCCATCTGAGTTACTGTCAACTCTAAGTTCAATGTTTCTAATTTTGCTACTCCTAAAGCAGTTCTATTCTGCCCACATAGGCTTGCTGTATGTCAGAAACAACTACATGGCAACTAACAACAACAACAAAGGGGTTTAGGAAATGTCCAAAGGCGGGGACTGGGGGGTGGGGGGATGGAATAATGATACAAATAGAGTTCCTTGGGGAAAAAGTTAAAAGTCTGCTTGTGGGGGAAAACAAAAAAGATATTATCCCCTGAAGAAGCGTACAGTCTAAACTTGGCAAAAGTTTGTGTGTGTACACACACACACACACACACACACACACAGCTGCACTTTTTTGTTTTTTCACAAAAATCTAGAGAACACATTACTACGGTAAGGGTATGGAGAGGACTCAATTTTTAAATGTACATTTTGAATAGATACATGCTTACCTTTCAGGAAAACTTTATTGATCCACAAATCAAGACAGCATGCTCTTGTTATGGGTCTTGACCAGCAAGTAAGATGAATCAAGAATTAGAGACCAGCTGAGTTTTCCCTCAACCAAGCTGCTGGAGAAAGAGCATCTACCTAGAAAAAGAAATAAATAAAAGTTTCAAATGCTCCTATCCTAGAGGGAACCCTCAATCAAACCAAACAATGTGAAAGACAGGCTAAAAAATTCATGTCAAAACATTTTAGCTCTTTGGGGACAAATGTTAGCCTATTCATTAATCACTCGTTTGGTCATCTATTTTAATTCTTGGGGAAAAGGGAGACGTTTTATAATACCAACAATAAAAAGCATAATATCAAAACCCAAAAAACTTCACTATAAAACAAATCACCTGTTGCAACTTCATTTGACTTTTCAGTGAAATGACATAAAAGTAATTAAGTATTGAACGTACTACTCTAACACATACTAAAATAATGTGAAGTTTTAAAATCACATAATGTAAAAAATGAAAATCTGACATTTAAAAAAATTACATTGAAAATGGATTCCAAAGCATTAATAAATGAGAAACTAGAGTACAGATGCATCAGTGATTACAAGTGTATGTTATTTGTAAGTTAAAAATTAATTTCTGTAAGCCTTTATTTCTAGGGAGAAAACAAAAATTCTAATCACCTTTAGTAATATATTCCCATATATCATATTTGACATATATGTTACTACACAAAATCTGCAAGAATGACAACTGAATTTCTTAAATGTGCTATCCAATTTAAGTAAAGATCCTCTTAAAATAATAAATAACTAAATACACGGTTATTAACTCTCCTCCAGATCTCCTTCTCTATTAGGTCTTAAGGTCCAACAACCTGTTGGGAGTGTACTGATGGCTCAGAACATGCACACAAGGGCAGCACCAGTTAGGTAGTATAATGTAAAACACACATCAATAATATAGAGCTGAAAAACATTGTAATAATAGACCTAGCTAAAACGTACTGAGCTCTAACAGAAATTAATCACTTCAAACAAATTTTAGCATCACATGCTCTGTAAGACCAAATAACAAAAGTACATTTTATAAAGGCGGCAAATGAATCTGGCATTTATCTCTAGAAAAGATTTCCAAGAACTAATGTTTTATGCCCTTTTAGGTATATCCATTGTATTAAACACAATTTATGTTTGTTTCTTTGTTTGATAAAGAGAATGACTTATATTCTGTTATAGTATAGTTTTAGCTTTCAATCTTATCTGAAAATTTATAAACTACACTTTTCTATATTTCACACATGGAAAACATCTAAACGTTGTCAGCCACTCCTTGGACATGAATATATTCATCTGGTTTTGCTTGTACAGTTGAACTAAAAATTACTATACCACTAAAACAATGCACGTCTGCTTCTCGTGTGTGTGTGTGTGTGTGTGTGTGTGTATGTATGTATGTATGTCTACATACACATATGTACATAAAAATACAGACCAGCTTTATTCTACAGATGGCTCTTCAGAGTGTTTTATTACAATAATACAATTAATCCAATGTATATATATTTAATGAATGTTGTGTTTATGTAGCACTTAACATATATTGTCACACTACTATGTTACTACTCTTCAAAGAATGATGGCTATTTCTTCAGAAAATGTGACAATAACTAGAAAAAAAATATAGTGGTACTACATGTCGTGTTCTGAGAAGTTGTAATTTTGTTCTGAAAGACATACTTTTATGTACGGTTTTACATTTCTTACACTTTCAAAATCGTAATTAACCGTGTTGTTGTGACAAGACAGATCCAGTCAAAAACTGCATTTACACACCATCAGAGAAACCAAGAAGGGAGGAAAAAGAGAAGACTTATAGGAAAAAGAGAAGACTTATGGGAAAGAGAGACGACTTATGAACAGAATCAGGAAACACAGAAGACCATGTCGACAGTAAGACTGTAGGAAACAACCACACTTCCTTAGCAATCCATATGCATAAGGAATGTTTACCACTGTCTCACTGAAAAGATATACCAGTTCTTTTTCTAGTTATTCTCTTAAGAACTGCATAAATACTAAGAAATCTAGAAATAGATATACACATGCACATATAAAAATTATTGTCAGTGTATAACTTACTGCTGTCCTGGGACTGCAATAATTTATGTAACATCTGTTTTCATATTTTTCTAATTTTTTTTCTAATTAACATGCATATTTAACGCATAAATGCTCAGACCACTTCTTTTTTTCCGCTGACTGTACCTCTTTTTTTGAAGTTGTGCACTCCTAGCGAGAATTCAGGATAGACGGAAAACAAAATCTTATTGAAGGCACTAATTTTAAAATGTAAACAACAGCACTAAACCAATTTTCAAGAAAATACTAAAGTGCTAGGAATTTTCACAAGAACATTTCAATCTGCCAGCAACAGTCATATAGTAAATAAAGGCCCAAATACCAAAAAGCAAAATAAAAGCATGATTCCAACATTGTTTCTTTTATAAAAGCTGGAAAACCTACTACAATCTATTATTTCTTATCTGGTGAGTGTTGATAGAATTTTATAATTTTTATTTCTTAGACACCTAAAATAAATGAACACATTCCATATGGGAAACATCAAAAAGTATATAACCAGTTATATCTTTTTTAAATTGTAGACTTCAAATACCCTGTAGATTGAGGAAAGGGGAAAGTTTTTACTCTAATGCCCATTTAAGTACAAGCAAGTGTACAATCAAGTACAATCAAGGTCTTAACCTATATTGAATAATTCAAAATTCACAATACGACGAGTTTATTTTTAATTTCTGTTAAAAAGGTACAATTAGAGGCAGATCAACCAATGCTACAGTAACAAACATATTCCCAAATAACAATGCCTAACACACCAACACTGTGGCCCTGTCTGTACTTAACCACTTCAGAATCAACACTTTGTATTTTAATTGCCTAGTTATACACTTCAGTCAGCCATTTATTACCTGTTATCTACTGTATGGGCTATTTTAGGCCTCTGTAAACTGAAATTGTCTGAGCCCTCAAGGAGCTGACATTCTGCTTGAAGAAAATGAATCAAATCATCAGGCAAATACATAATTGCAAACAGAGATAAATGCTATTAAAAAATAAAAAGCCGTGAGATATAATATTATAACAAGAGACTTGATTTATCCCAGTGATCAGCAAAGTCCTAAGAAAGGCCATTTAAGAGTGACCTGAAAGGTATGGAAAATGCTGTAGTCTAGTGGCAAGTAAGTGCAAAGGTCCAAAAGCAGGTCTGACATCAGCACATTCAAAGACAAGGAAGGGTGAGAGGGGCCAGTCACAGCAAGAGAAGAAATGCATGAGGAACAAAATGGGGCCTTAAAAGTCAATAAAGCATAGTCACTGAAGAACTTTAAATAGGGTATGACAATCGGGAAAATCTGCTGCAAAAGACCTCTTTAAAATGTTAAAAAGCAAAGATGTCACCCTGGGGACTAAGGTGCACCTAATCCAAGCCAGGCTATTTTCAATTGCCTGATATGCATGCAAAAGCTGGGCAATGAACAAGAAAGGTCAAAGAAAAACTGACGCCTTTGAATTATGGTGTTGGTGAAGAATCCCGGGCTGCCAGAAGAATGAACAAATCTGTCTTGCAAGAAGCACAGCCAGTATGATCCTTAGAAGCAAGGATAGTGAGACTTCACCTCGTTTACTTTGGACATGTTATCAGGAGGAACCATCCCTGGAGAAGGACATCATGCCTGGTAAAGTAGAGAGTCGGCAAGAAAGAAGAAGATCCTTAATGAGATGGATTAACACAGTGGCTACAACAATGGGCTCAAACATAGCAATGATCGTGCAGATGGCGCAGGACCCGGCAGTGTTTCATTCTATTGTGCAGGGGGTCACTATGAGTCAGAACCAACTCAAAGGCACCTAACAACAACAACAATGCCAATTAACGCTGTTTTGAAAAAAATATCAAATTTGGCTGAACTATGAGAGAGGAAGCAGAGGAGGGGTCAAGTGTGAGATGACAGTAGTTTATAACAGGGTTACGGTGATGAAGACGAAGAGAAGGAGAAAGAAATTTACATAGTAACGATCAGTAAAACTTGGTAAAATGTTAGATTTTCTAGAGGAGGCAGATGGATAACAGTTCCTTCCATTCACTGAGGTAGGGAGCCCTGGAAGAAGACCAGGTTTAGGGAAAAAGAGCCAAGTTTAGACTTGGATATGGTAAGTAGTTACCTGTTGGAAATGAACTGTGTACACTTCAAATAAACATCTGGAGCTCTAAGAAGCATTTAGAGCTATAAGAAAAATCTGGGCTAGAATCAAGTTTAGAATTTACAGGGGTATGAATGGCTGGAAACCCTATGGGGCAGTTCTACTCTGTCACATAGGCACATGTTATGAGTCGAAATCGACAAGAGGGCACCCAGCAACAACAATGTGGGTGGTTTAAAAAAAAAAAATTGGAGTCCTACATTCTCTTCCCAAAGGAAAAGGCCTTCACTCACTATGTCCTCCTAGCTTCTAGCTATCATACTACATAAAAACAGGAGACCATATAGTATTTCATAATTTGACAAACTCAGCCTATAACTGGTTAACTGTGTGAGGTATATTTGCATTTTATGTCTCATTGTAAACTGCTGAATAATAGTTGCCATTTATTAGAATGTGTACTTTGGGGCAGAAGTATACTAAGCACTCTACAAATAACCTTGAAGGTAAAAATCATCACGTCCACTTTTTAAATGAGGCACTGAAGTTTAGGGACATGTAGAGTCGCTAGTAAAGCCAGTAAGTGATAGAGCCATACTTCTGACATAAGGCTATCTGAACCACAGCCATGCCCTTTCCACTAAAATAGGAGGGTAGTTATGTACAGCGTCAACAGTCTGGGCTTCAGAATAAATCAACGTTGGTTTATTTTAATCATGGCTCCAGAAGGCCACCTTAGCTCTCTGACACATTTCCTCACCTGCAATTCCTCCCTTCCTAGGAAGAGCTGAGGTTTTAGAAAATATGAGTGAAGTCTCTGCACAGTACATAGGGTTGTGCCTCACCATTAACTTGCCAACTGAGACAGGACTTAAGAGCAGAAGACTATTAACAGATCCCATTGTCCTTCCATTAC